AAACACTTATTCCCTGAGTTGCTAAGGAATTTTCACAAACTTATTTCCATGATAAAGCAGAAAAATCATGAGGCTGTTCAGAGGAAAAGACTGCAAATTAAAAAGGAGGTTGGAAAAGTGATGTGTGGATTTAGTTACCTGCTTTGCAAAACAGCAGAAGTTTCTTTGTGCTGCAGTTTATCCACTCAGCATCTGTTTATGAGAATCATGACAATGCTGAAGGAGGTACTGTGTTTTGTCTCCGTGGCAGAAACAGACTAAAATGCTTCCTCAGAGTGAGCTGTCATACAGCTCTTCATATGAGCATGTCTCAGATGGAGGATTTAGGCACCTAAGAGAGGTACAGCTTCTGATGCAAACAGCAAGCACTTCTCTGATATCCCACTTCATTGCTTTGAAACCTGGAGGAACCCGGAATCTGCTTAGCTAGGAGATTAGGTTGATAATTCTTCACAAGAATTATCCCATTTTTTTCCCCTGTATTTTAGACCATAGTTTTTGTGACATCTTATTGTAGTTGACATTTTTAGATCAGGATATGAAAATTAAGTTTCCCCATTTCTCACTATGTGTGACTTACACATCACTCAGAGGTGGTGCTTCTGCTGTGAGGCCGTGGAGATCTTAAGGCTCCTTCTTAAAACTCAGTCTTTGTTGCAAAAAAGAGAAACTGTTTTCATTTCAGGATAATTGATCAAGTTTTGAAAAACATAAAATATTCTGGAATTAAAGTGGCATAATTTTGCAATATTATTTCTGCATTTGCAATTATCTTAGAATAGCTGTTGCAGAATGATATATTTCTCTAGAGATTGTCTTGTAAATTTGTCTTTGTAATTTCATGCTCTGGCCTAGGTCTGGCTCTGTGAAAATGAAATTTTAAAGTAACAGTAATTTCTTTGTCATGTACTAAAGGCATTCTTGATAAATTTTCATGAATGCTGAATTCCTACTGAATCAGGGTCATCCTTACATTTTTCCATGTCTGAATTTAAAGTAGGTATTTTTTGCTATCTTTTTGATAAGGATAGGTCTCAACAACCATTGTTACTGATTCATTCCTTCTTCTAAGGGAATATAAAGAGAAAGGGATATCTTAATTCATATAGATTAGTATGTACAGGAGTGGTCTTATGTTGCTAAATATGAGGAGTTTGTAAAGTCACAGACAATTAATTCAATGCAGACCTAAAGTACCACTCATTTCCTGAAGAAATTTCTGTGACAGTCATGTGTCACATTTTCACTTCATGTAGATTATAGTCTGTATACCAGCAGATTTGGTCTCTAATTTCTAACTTTCTTCTTGTTTATTGTGCGTATGTCAACCTACAGTTCCAAACTGGTAAATAAATGTGTGTTTCATAAATGTTTCTAAAAGCCCTTATCATAAAACCCTGACAACAAACAAAATCCTAATTTAATGCACTAATGACAAGCCTAAAACACCCACTTGATTAGCTGGGATAAAGGAATATAATTAACAGGTTTAATGTCTGTTAGTATGCAGGTGATTTCTGACCTTGCTCTCCTAGTTTTTTCCTTGAAATTGTGGCACAAATAGTATTTCATGTTCCTTAGTCATGTATTTACTACAGATTAACCAGAGGATAATTCTACACGACAATCAAGCCATATATTGCTATTTAATTAATGTAAAGGGATTACTACTAGGCTGCATAAGATCAATTACATTTTGCAATCTTCTACAAAATCTGAAAATACATTTTTTAATGGGTACAATGTCAAGTGTGTTTTGCATGTGGTGTTTTTTGGGAGTTTTCTTTACTTTGAGTTTTCAGGTGTTTTTAATCTCTTCTTTTAAAAAAAAACAAACACATTTTAAAAGAGAATTTGAAGGCATGTTTTCAGCATGGTATTTCTTTTGACTTTTTAGCATGTCACAGGATCTGTTGTACTTTAGCTGTATTTTGTCTTTCAGTTTTTGTGTTGTCATGACATATGTTGATTGGCGTGGGAGTGTGTCATCAAATAAGTGTATTTTCTTATTTGTAACCACAAAAAGAAGTGAGTTTAGCTGTATTTTAAGTGGGATCTTTTGACTCAAGTTCTTCACCTGCTTAATAGAAGCCTCATGCTTTTGCATGAGGTGTGATGACATCTTGGATGTTCATTCATAGCATATTCTGTTATGATTCACAGACTGATTACATAACAAAAGCCCTCCAGCAGTTCTTTTAAAAAATAGCTACTTCTATTCCATATCAGTAGAGCACATTTTATATATTTAAAATATGAAAATAAACCAAGTGCAATTCCTTCATAAGTTAACTGCCAAATATTAATTAAGGAAATTTATTCAAAGTGTAATTGCTGAAAATAAGAATTAGAGGAAGGGTTTTAAATGTACTTAAAATTTGTCAGTTTCTGAACTTGCAAGTAGTTCTTTTTGCCTTAGAAAAATTTACCTCCAAATTTTTTTATTTGCACAAAGTGTTTAATGTTAAATCTCCCCTTGGAAATGTGAAGTGTCTTATAGAGAAGCATATAAACAAAATTTAGAAAAAGGAATGTGTGTTCAGCATCCTTAGAAAAATATTCCTTCACAGTAAGTTAATTATTATGATTTTGTTCATGATGCTGGTGATTTAGTCAGGTTCATTGTGTGATAAGTGAGTCTCACACTCACTGGGTTTATGACCTTTTTATTTACACTAGGGTAACTGCACCTTTAAGTATCTTGGTTGAGTTACCAGACGCTGTTTTGTGCATGTCTGAAGTGTCTGTATGTACAAGATTGACTGATTATGATGGTCTACTGCTGTTACTAATTTGTTTCCCATTTCCGATTGGATTTTACTTTTTACAGCTTTGAGCAGTAATTCAGTCCCCTACGCCTCCCTGATTGGCTCTGTGTCCTCCCTCTCTAGCCAAACTACCACTCAGTCCTTATATGATAATAACTCTCTCCCACGATTCGCTCGAAAAGGTCTAAACATCTTTGTCTCTATTATTTTCTCTGTTCAAGCACTGTTTTAGATGTACATCAGTCCACCTCCATTTCTGGATCAATCTAGAGTTCTCTTGTGCCTTTTCACCCACATATCTTCCATAGGGGTGCTTGATCTGGATCAATCCATCTAATTATTAGATGACTGTCACCCACACTCATTTTGAGACTAGCGTAGTCCTCAATAAAATTTTAAAAAAATGGGAGAGAAGCAGAGCTGCAGCAAGTAAATTAGTACTTAGAGACTCATTTTTTTAATTGAAATTTTTAAGGAATCTCCCCACTGATCTGAATATTCTGCTTTGTTAGTTGACTGACAACTTGCCTTAATGTCTTACCACCACAGATCTGCTATGAAGATTCCCTAAAATATTTATATAGGGTCAGAAGAATTAGGACCAGTGCTGCTGGACATTGTTTTGCAGTCTATTATGATGCTTGAAATGTCAAAGAATCCAAAAGAAAACAAGAATTAAAACCAAAATTAAAATAATTAAAACACATAGTATAGTGTGACTGTGTTGTAGCCACATGGTCATTTTCAGCTATGTTTAAAGGAAATGCAAGTCAACTGTCTTAGGCATGCTCCTGAAAGTCACGGTGACAAAGCAAACTGCATTGTGCAACATGCCTTCCAGCTTGAGCCCCCTTGAGTGTTTTCCCTTCATAATTTCAAGAGATCCTGGGGTTCACTAGCTTGACTTTTTCTTGCCAGCTCTGATTTCTTCCCTAAGCTGTTGAAACCTCACTTTCATTATAGGTGTGATAGTAAAAAATATGAAGAGAAGAATGTAAGCATTATGGAGAAAGCTCATGAAGACTAATAGCTTGAAATAAATATGTTCACAAAATTTTGCTTGTTAAATCTTCAGCTGGCAGATTGTTCTAGTTGACCCCACATCTTTTCTGTCTCCTTTTTTTTTTTTTTTTTTGCCTTGCTGTACCCCCTTACACACCCATCTGTACTTCCAATTCTTCTTTTTCACTTAGTATCTTCATCAGTGGACAAAGATGTTTACACCTGAAGTAGATTGTAGGTACTTTTAGGGGTTGATGAATGGGGTTTCAGATTAAGCATATTTTAAAGTACTAGTGCAGTTAGCATGTGTGTCCAGCCAAACTGTACAACCCCTGCCTCTACAATCTGCTACTAGTGAAAACATTTTTGAAGTTCTAATTGTCTTATGTCCAATGTTGTCTTTCTTCAGTGACTGTTGTCTTAAATCGGTGATGCATGTTGTTCTAGTCATTCATAGCTGCATGTCAGACACCTCAGAATTCTCTAAAATATTTAAGTATTTCTAATTTAGAGTACACAGTCAGTCTTCTATACCTTGATGCATTATTATTATTATTACTATTATTATTAATCTTCAATTGTTCCATTTCATTATTTTGTACTTTATTTTATAATAAAATAGTTAGTTTTATGTCAGTTTAGGTTTCTTTTTTTTTTTTTTTTATACCATTTCCTTTGCAGGTTCAGGTGTCTCTGGTTACCCTGGTAACCTTCATTATTCAAGTTCATTTTTTCTTGATTATGCATAAGTCGCTTTGTTTTCTGTCAAAACACTATTGTTTCCCCTTTAGGGCTCTTTCAGTGTCTGTATCTCAGCTCACATTTCCTCATCTATTTTAACAGATTTTTCATTTCATGCATTGCAGTAGAAGGAGTTTGAAATGACATTAAGAGTCATTACTCAAAGCAGAGGTCAACATCAGGTCTAACTGTCTCATTTTTCCATGCCTAGCTAAACTCATTGACTTGTATGACAGTAGCTCTTTCCTCTACACTAGGAATGTTATCTTTGGGAATATGTTTGGTGACTTCTTTTAATTTGGCTTCAGAGCTCATCTATGCAGAGCATGTCCTGCTTTGAGTAACCAAACTATTTGCCTGCTTCTCTCACATGTGACATCTTTACTATTTACACATTTATAGACATTCTAACTACTGCATTTCTAAATTTTAGAGCAATGCCATCACTGTAGTTTACTTTAAATTTTGTTCATCTTTCTTGTTCAACAGGTATGGCCAGTCATCCCCCAATACCTATCTTGGAACTTGCAGATCACATTGAAAGGTTGAAAGCGAATGACAATTTGAAGTTCTCACAGGAGTATGAGGTAATTCTCCCCACTTCTTTACTATTCAAATTTTTAATGTCATGATTGCTGTTTCCCAAGACTTCTCTCAGACATGGTGCCAGGTTTGTATGATACTAAAACCATGGTAAAAAATGGTGTAGAATTACTACATTGGTGAGGTGGCTCCTTTGCTCATAAAATCCTCTTCTCTTGTTATAAGGATACCTGTCAGGCAGATTCTGTGGACACATACACATAGACAAGTAATGTGTGGATGATAGAGCACAGACTTGATCTAATATAAACAAACATCTCTCTTTCCTGCACTTTAAAGATCCTTGGATTATTTTTTTAAATCTCCTTTATAATGTTGACAGGACACATACCATGAAAGCTCCAAAGAAGGTTCAGTCCAGTGCTTTAATTTTACATGAGAAAGGTTTGCAAGTTCTTGGTGTCTCTTCTAATGTAGCAGTTTCAGGACATTGTATTTTCTTCCTGTCAACAATACCACTTTTATAAATTGTGAATAATGATATAGAAGAGCATGAAAGAATTTAACTGGAAGACAGTAATCATTTACCAGCCATCTTGTAAATAAACCATGGAGTATATAGGTATTGCTATAGTGGAGAATAATAGCCTCTCAGGTCAGTAATTTGTGGCCAAAGGGACATAAGGAGCTATCCATTAAACCTGGTAAATTATAGCTGTTACTTTAATATCAAAATATTGTCTATGTCAAAAATACGTGGATCAAGTATGCACTGAACCATCAGTAAAGACATGCTTCCATAGATGAGCTATAGGTGATCATGTCAGTGATCCAAGGATTAACAGCTCCCAGAGGGATCACTGGCACAGTACTTTCTTTATGATCTGTCATGTCACTAATCCTTGCTTAAAATCCTACAACAGTTTGTCAGCATGGTGGAGTAAAAGCCTGTGTTGTTCTTATTTTTTTAGGGATCATGTATTAGTTGCATCTGAAGGTTCATATGGACACTGGCAGTGCAATAAAAAACACTCAAGATAACTTTCATGTTACTGCTGGATATATGGAAACCCTGTACGTTTCCATTGTATTTTAAGTCTTGACAGAAGATGCTAAAAATTAATACCAAGTACTATGATAAAGAACTACAATTTTTTGTTATTATTATTTAATTGAATGCAGTATTCAGAAAGTCTTTAAGGCTGCTTTAAAAGAAAATCTCATTAGATTTTCCTAAAATGAAATAAATTCCTAAAATACAGTTTCAGCTGTTTACTGTTGCAATCACAAAAAATGTGTGAGAATCTCTTCATTTTTCCATGTGTAAACCCTGTGTTCTTATTTATGAAGATCGTAGCATATAAATAATCAGACAGGGAAATTTATGTTGCAGAATGTTCACCATTATAAAAGATAACATTTGGTACAGATTTTAAAACTATTTTCTGTTGTACTATGGGAAAATTAATTGGTTTTTCTGTGTAGAAAATTCCAAGTCATTTGCAAGTCATATAATGTAGCATAATTTTTATACAAATAAACAATTCAGCTGTACTACATCTTGAACATGGTGGGGAGGTGACACAATTGTCTCATGCTGTAACAGTACTTAAAAGTTTTGTGTTTCGTATTATTTTTTTCTTAGTTAAGTAAGTAAAGTCATCTTGAGAGTGTAATTTTAATAATTTATAACCATTATTGAAAGATACATCAAATCATTTGATTCTTAATATCTTCTGTCCCTATAGAATATAGAAGTTTGTCTAGTCCATGTAAACAGGACAATTTTCACACGCTTTTTTTTTTTTTTCCTTCATTTGTTTGGGGGTTTTTTCCTTTTTTTTTTTTTTTTAATCTTTACAAAACATGCCATCTGGAACAGAATGGTCAGACATTCAAGATTAGACTGTGGGTCAACATCAAGCTTCATTCATCTTTCATTGCCCAAGAAGGTTCAACATTTATCTTTGAAATTACAGCTTTAGAGATACCACTTCATTTCCATCTAGTCCAAGATTCATCCATTTTGAAATAGAATTAATGAAAAGCATTGCTATTTGGTTTCATGGTCTACACTAGGCAGTGGACTAAAGCTGCGGTTTGATGATCTCTGTAAGTCATCTCCGTGTCTTGGCTGTGTATTCCTGTTGTCTCTCTTGTGCCAGTCCTGGCACTAGCACATGTGCAGCTGTTCAAGGATTATCTCAGGAAATAGATTCAGCTGAAAACTAATTGTTTTATTTTTCTTTGCTGTTTTCAATTGGATCAGTTCCCTGAACTAGCTCACCACATGTCTGCTTAAGATCTAGTGCCAGCAACGGGAAGTGGTGGGTATATCTGTGGTCAGGGATTGGGACCTTCTACTTCAGCAGCAGTTCTCACTAACATCCCTTAAACATTCTTTTTTAACCTGATTGCAAGGCAGAAAGAGGTACAGATGGTAACAGTTCACTCATTATCGCTTCAGATGATGCTAGAACTAGTGAGACAGAAGGAAAAAGAGATACTTCTCATATTTGAAAGTTCAAGGTGTAACATGCAGCACAAAACTACTGACCTTTATTGATACCAGCAAAATCCTCCAATTAATTCCTGTTTAGGGAAGCAAAGAGTTTTCATTAGTCTCCCTTGATAATTTTGTTGTCTTTTAAATAATGTCCTTTCCTCATTGGCAGGCAATTATTTTATTTTCCTTTTTGTGAAATTGTTTGCATTGCATCGACAAAATTCTTCAGAGATGCATTGATTGTATTCAGCAACTGATGCGACAACTTTGTGATACCATAAAGTGAAACATATGTTGATGTGTTTCTGATAGACTCTGACTTCTCTTCCTTCTATCAGGAAGTTAGCACCATTTCTAAAGAATGTTTAAATTATTTTTTTAGCATAAACTACTTTGGTTGCCACTTCATAAGATTTACTAGTTTCATCACACAAACACATTTTCTAAGAAATGCCCAAGTACTTGTTCCTCTTCCATCCTTGCCCATGTTCCATTCCCTTACTTCTGATCAGAATTTCTGATCAAAAGTCAATACAAGTTTGGCTTATTCCTTTCAGAAGTGTATCCTTTCCTTCCTATTTCCACTTTCTCCTCAGACAGACAAATCTCCCTGATTCTGTACAAAACAGTATATTCTCCTGTGTAGAACACCTTCTAGGTATATAATGTTTTTCTAAGGCACAGTGTCATCCACTGTACTGAAGTTCCTACTTCTACAAGTCTCCAGAAGCTATTTAGTGGTGTCTTCTTCAGGGCATCTTCTATCACAGCTGTTATGGCATGTCAGCAGAACAACAGAGGTTTCTTCATTGTACTTCTTTCACAAATTTACCTTGAGTACCATCTTTAATGGGACAACAGGGGCCAAGCCTCAAGGACTATTACTGTGGCAAGATTCAAATAAACTTATAATTCATGCATTGCATAGAGTGGGCCTGTAATGCTGATGTCTCAAAAAGTTAATTTCTGCTTCAAAATAAATTTTAAATAATCCTTCATTAATTTTTTGTTAGCTCACAATCCCCAAGCCTAAACAAAATGTTGGTTTATTCTGTTAACATCATATATGATATCATCAATGTCACACAGTTCTTTTCTCTTCTCTAATTTAAAAGTAGGATTGACCCCAGTTGATTATTGGGAAGCTTTTGCTGACTTTGGCAATTTCAGTGGAATTTTTATGTAATGTTAGGGTCCATATGGACTTGACAGTTGCTAAGCAAAAATCTGTGTTTATAAGATACTGACCTTTATATTGTATCTTCTTCTTATCTGAGATTTCAGAATTTAAAAATAAAAAGTGGTCGTGGAGATAAACTGAATAAAACCAGTAATGTTCTGCCTACTCTATGATGTATTTGTAAAGTCATTTCCTGCTAAGACAGAACAGAAAGTCTATTCCCCCCAAGCAGACTTCTGAGACTTGTGTAAAATAATTCATACAAAACATTTATTTTTTGAGGTCTGTACATAGAACTCTACACCCTTAAGGAAGTGGATTCAGATTCATACTCTATTTGCATGAGAAACTGTCACTACAGCACAAAATTTACACTATCAGACTCTGTATGTTACTGTATGACTTACTGTGAATGTGTGTGTATGCACTGGTTTACAAATGTTAGAAGAAGTTGTATGTAATTTGATTTTTTCTCTCATCAGGTTTCTTTCTGTAAATTGCAGACAGTCTTTTGCTTTAAAACTGAGTATTGGAAAACATGAAGATGCATTTTGGCTTTTCTTTTTTATTGTAGCTTTTTAGAATCAGTTGATAGGATTTGTGATGGGAACACAGTTTACTCAATATGTTATATTTCTCTTTTTGTATCTCAAGCTGCAACAACATAAACACTGGATACTAAAACACAGTAAATCTTGCGTAGTAGAAGCACATATAAAACTTATTATCAATATAATACATTTTAGAAGTCCAGGAAGAACAGATAATCCACTGAATGAATCTCTATCAAAGAAACAGCTGCACTGAGTTGCTCTATCATTGTAGATAATAGTGATTCATGTGGAAAAATCAATTTTTTTCTCAGCAAAAATACGGTTTTATTCTTTTTCCTTACAATGCTTTCCTCTTTCTAGTATTCCAAACATCATTTATTGCAATTTTTCTAAGTTTACTTTCATAGGATGTGCTCCATTTATTGAGAAACAATTAGCGTAGTCAGTGAACGATGAAAAGTTGTCTTCTTATTAATAGCACATATACTTGTATTAACCTAGGTTGTTTGGTGCTTAGTTCCACCTAGGGTAGCATCCAAGCCAGTAGTATAGTTATGGTAGAGAATTTTAAAGACATAGTGCAGGAATTTGAAGTCCTGCTATTCAAGATTTAGAGCAGGTAATTATCTCCTTCCTTTGTGCTGTGAATGCTGCATTGGGATAACAGCATTTGTTTATGGTTATATAATTAATCATATAAAAGAAAGCTGGTGTTACATATTAGGTTGCAGCATTTTGGTCTGATACCTAATGTTTTTTAGCCAAGGAATTTCAGACACAGTTTAATTAGTCAAATAACTATCA